GCACTACAACGCCAGTGTTGCTGCAACCACTTTCTCTCTTCTCCTCGTCATCTTCACCGAGCTCGCCCTCATCTACCAAGCTTGGACCATGGTGACACTGTGGCCCAGTGTAGCCAAATATGTCCTTTGCGCCCTTTCACTTTGTGTTACCCTCCTCACCATAAGCTGGCGTATCGCAGCCACTGTCGTTCAGAACCGGGCTACGATGACCCTCACTTCGGCAGCAGATTCGTTGTGGATCATGAAGGCCGCAGTCATAACCAATGCCATATCGATCTGCTGGTTCTGTGCCGTTTTCAACATGAAGCTCGTGATCCATCTGGTCACGAATCGCGGAGTACTCCCCTCTAGTCGAGTCCTCTCTCCCATGGAAGTCCTCGTCATGACCAACGGCATCTTGATGGTGGTACCAGGTTTGTTCTCCCCCTCTTGGATGACGCATTTTGATACGTCTGTTCATTTGCTAACGAAAAATCTTCCCTCGCAGTCATTTTCTCCGGATTGGAATGGGGTCACTTCGTTAACTTCGAATCCGCCTCATTGACGTTGACCTCAGTCGCCATCATCCTACCCCTTGGAACTCTCGCCGCTCAGCGTGTCTCCCAATCCTACGGAATAGCATCAGCTCAGGAAGGATCCAGCTACCGCGGCGATACCCTGCTTCCCGCAACATCCAATTCCACCACTCCACTCAAGGGTTTCTCCAGCTTCCTCTCCAGCAACCGGACCAATTCTACACCAGGTGTCTCCATCTCATCTCGTTGTGAGGCCAGTCACACTCATCGCGAGAGGCTAGACCCCGTCGATGTTGAGCTTGGTCGGATTGACGGTACTGTCCACCTACACAAAGGCCAGGTCAGGATCGATCATGGTATCGAGCAGCGCGAAGAGCGACTTTAGCTTGCTCGCGTTATGGCTCGTTATCGAGAAGTTATTGGGCTACTTCTCATATAATCGTCTTATCTTCTGCGTGGAATCCGAAAACAATCAAAACCATTTCGGAGCAAGTATTCATTTTCACTCCAACAATAGCCCGAAAGAAGGCATGCAATTATTTCTATTTTAGTCTTTACTACATCACTGCAAGCATGGTGCGATTGGCGAAATGTGGTGCGGTCATGAACATTGAACATGATGGCCCTAGGATTTCTTCTTCTACTCTTCTTATACTGAACTCTATTCCAAGGTCCCTTCAGGACGCTTCTATTTGTCACTCGATCAAGGATTAGGAGATAGACTTCACTATTATACCTTTTAATATACCTTGAATCCGGACCCTCAATATGTTTACCGCTAGACTATGATGGATACGAAAGTCCAACCTCCATTTTAGACGTAGGCCTTGAAAGATGACATTTCCCAGTGGCCATCTTGGGTTTCATCAATGAACTATTCTTTCATCATCTCCGTCCTGACATCTTGTCTTTGCACAAACTAACCAATCGCCTCATATCAGTACCCAGGATAGGCCTTGGCTGCCTCAGCTCACACAAAGCCTCGGCCACCCTCGGTTCCCAGCTTTGACTTGATCGCCTATCCTTATGAGACCTTGAACCATCGTAGTGGTGAGGACGAGGGGTTCGGGGTGAGGGACCGCCTCTCAGTCCAGAATGGACTGGATCAGAATAGCGGTAATTCCGTCCGATTGAGCCAGATGAATGACCTGCATCATATAATCCGCGCGTGTTATCATTGATGCTAACAAAAGGACTATCCCTTGGGGAACGAACATCGGCACCTCGTCTAGAGTCTCGGTTGGTCGACAAATCAGGGTAGAATGAACGCTTTATTCCATGAGAATTCTCTCGGAGTAGGGATTTGTCTGAACCGCTAGACTTTGTATCGAGATGGGAAGTTGATTGCCCTTGGCTCCGATCCGGCGTCTTAGTCCTGCCCAAACTCGACGGCTGTCGTGTGCGGCTTCTTTCCTAAGAAGAGGACAATCGACGAACCGTGTCCCTTAACTTCACGCCCCTGTATTTGTAGAACAGCTTGGGCTGCCTCCTTGAATTCGAACTGTGAATCTTCTTGTCCTCTTCTGGTGCTTGTAGCGTCTCCCTATCGAAGGATATTTGAGACACACTGCCCTGTTGGCTGAGTGACTCGAAAAGACTGATCTTGTCTTTCAGAGGAGAATGCGACTGCTTCATTGCCCAAATTCCAGAATTGTTTTTGATCGGGATTGCAGACATACCCGTATGCGCTAGTGCTAGGGGTTTATGAGAATAGCGAGAAAAGTTTGGTACCTTGCGTTTGCTGGAAGTTCCCATGTGTCTCGGTTCCTCAACTCTTTTCAAGCTCATAGTTGGGGAGGGGGTTGAAGGAGTTCCTTGGGATTCAACGTCATCGCCATCCTCGTCCTCCAATTTTGTATCCCGAAGCTGCTGGTGCATTAGAGATTGAGCAATCATCTCATTTCGTCTTAAGGTGGCTACGATCGGCTTTTCAGACTCAAGTGTTCGTTGCTGATATTCGGATTGACTGTGGCCTGACGCAACAAGCAAGGGCGCTGGCATATCTAATAAGACTGGCTCGGCCTCCTGCATAATTTCATTCCTAGGAGAATTATACGATTCGTCTATTGGACTCTCGTCGAGTCCGACTACTGTCGGTATACTTCCCTGCTCCAGTGCTTGTTCGCTCGGTTTGGCCCCACTACCCTGAAGTGATGTGTTGCTGTTTACCTTGGCTTGGGGCACTGTATGGCGTTTTTGGGTAACTGGGAATGGTGATTGTTCTAATGTCCCACGTCTTTCACGAGTCGAAATAGTTGACACATGCTTCGGGTGCTTCGGGGGTTCCTAACTTGTGCCCAGCCGGGCATTCCCTGGAACCTTCCACATTCGACCTGAGGACTGAATATCGAACCCGGGTTGAAGTCTTGGATCGTAATCCGGGGCTGGCACCTTGCTTAGGGATGGGTCCGTCTTTGTCAACGTTTGTTGATCCTCAGGAAGTGTATGCCCCATACTAGTTCCTGGTAGTGAGTGCCATGTATTTGATTTCGATATTGGTTTGAAGAGTCGTCCATTTTCTGTTTGAGGCCGAGGTTCTCTGGCTGTTGAGCTGTTAGAGTTCCATGGCTATAGTCTTCAACGTCCATCCGCGACGGATACATGAATTTAGAGAACTCTTACAGATAGAACTACTGGCTTCTTCGAACAACTTCCTTTTCTCTGCCACAGATAGGCGATGGAGGCTAGACTCTTGAGATTGCGCGGTTTTATGCTCGGATGTTTTCCGCTTGGAATCAACATCGGTGGGCGAAGCTCCAATTGGGATTGCTTGCAGTGTCCCAGAAGACTTTCCTCGAGTGCTTCTCCCGGACAGTGGACCTGAATGCGAAGTTGGCGAGTTGCGAGCTGGGCGCCGTACTCCCGGGTCTGTCCTTCGCCGAAAATCTTGCCCGCTGTTGCTGATTGAGACAGAGTCATCCTCAAATTTGGCCACGAGATCAGCCAAACCCCTACCAAGTCGACGGGTAGATGCGGCAGGTTTAGATTCTTGTGCTGTAGGTAGAGGGGCGGTGGCCGGGAATGGGGCCGCATTAGCAGACATGGCGCATTGAAACTCTGCTCGAAGTTATCTTTTGAAGTTGAATAGATGAAAGAAATGGCCCATATCAATGCGGATAAAGAGTCTAAGAGGACCCAGCAATGTAGTGATGTGCGGTACAAGATGCATAGGTGATAATTGGATCTCTATTCGTTCACACTCTGGTTATTCCGGCCAACGCAACTGCTGTATTCAGCAAAGAAAGGGATACCAAGTGTGTTAGTGAGCTTCCTTCCTTCTGAAAGTATGGGTTTCCGGAAGCATGTGCAAGACACGCTGGTCCTTGGCGCTTGCCAACAGATAAGAGAGAGCGTGCTGGCTTGTTGTGCAGCTTGAAAATGGACGGCTGAGCTTGGGCAATATCTATTCCTGCGTCTTGCGGACTTAAGCGAGAAAGACCTGGGCCGTTGCTCCAAATTTTGAAATAAAGAATATAAGATCATCGTCATTATGCACGTGGTTATTGGAAAGGAAAGGTTGGACGCTATCGTTCGCAGTTGTCATAAAAAGTCCCTAGGCCGACATATGCCGCGCCGTGCTTCATTATCTATCAATGATTTTGTTTGGAGAACCAACCCCCGTCATCAGAACCGAGCCTAGAGTACAAAACCGTCCCCGGTGTAATAGTGTACAAGTATTACGTCCTTTATTGTTGATACGACCATCTCGCTAATGGCCTGCAGTTCACTTGAGGACTCAATCGTTTCGCAGTAGCTTATGTTTTCGATTTAGTTACTAGATGGCGAGGTTAGTCTCGTAGATCGAAATTTTGGTTGAACGGATCTCGTTTGCAGGCTGGAGGAGGGCAGACTAGACATACGGTGGCAGCAAAACCTCGCCCCAGGAGCTGGCCAGGAAAGCGACTGCAAGCTTGGAAAACGTTAGCATATGGAAAAGAGACATATTTGATTGCAAGCATGCGATCAAAGGCAAGACCGGGAATTCTCTTACTCCGAAGACACCAATGCTGCGAACAACGGCAGCATTGTCTGATGAGGTCAATGTATCGTAGGTCGAGGCAAGAAAGCCCTTGGAGGCACCGCGGGAGCCCGATCGATCGACGGCAATTCGCTTGGGAGGCATTTTGAGAATACGGTGAACTTGGTTGGATATATAGATTGGGCGCGGTTAACTTGCTTGGTCTCGTAGCAGATGGAACGTGTGGAAAAGCTGCTGGTGATTCGAGCTCGCATCGACAAATTTTCGGCAGTCGGCGCGTCTAACCCTGGCGTTTACGTCACATGATCGGCGCTTAATTGTAAGATCAATCTGTGACAAATCAAGATACAGTGCTGATTCTCATTGATCCTCGCTTATGGCGCACTGTACACCACATACTGTAATCAGCATCTCATGGCTACGGCGAGAACTTGTTCTTCAATCAATATATTCGAATATATATATGTCTCTTGAAAGCCTATAGCCATTCTAGACAACCGGGAATCATGTCAGAGTCATCAGAAACACAACCTGGGGGGTTTATCCGCCCGTGGCAGGGCACAGGCCTTGCCTCCCCAGCCCCATCAACTGCTTCCAGCCAACATGGTTTAACTTCACTGCCTCATCCCCGAGGGAAATCCCTCCAGCCTGGCTCGAACAAGGAGGACATGGTACGGAGATATGTTGAAGACAAGCTTCTGCACACATCTCGGCGATACGTCAAGAAGTTCGGTGACCCAGATGTCGGCGACAGCGTTGTCGGCTATAAGAGCTTCAGCGAGGTCTGCCGCGATCTGGACAGCATTGTGAATGTACTTTGGCTTTCCGGCACGCGTGGGTTCCCTTTGTCCCCTTTCCGTGTTTCACTTATCTACCTATTTATAAATGTTCTCTTGCTGACTATTTGGGATTTGCCCAGCGGGCTTGCAAATTCCATTCTTGCTCAAATTGGCAAGTGATTTCACGCAATATGTCCGGTCCTTCCCTGCGTCGCCAAGAGCTTCCTTTGAAATCCTGGGGAAGTTGGATCATTGTTTTTCCAGTCTCTTGACGGGGCAGGATATTATCTCCAAGGAACCCTTGCCCGGATTCGAAAATGGCTTACGAGCTGGGATGAGTACTACCGACATGGTTCGTTGTCGAAGCCTTGTTGAGCAGACTCGGGTTCTTATGGTCGAAGTCATGAGTAACGGTGAAGATATTGAGGAAGAGGAGGACGACGAAGAGGGAGAACATGACACGACCGATGACGACCTTGACCAGTCAAGAGCATCCGACAGTGGCATCCACACCGCCTCGTGGAACATCGATGATGACAGGCTTCACTTGGACGCAGCCAGAATCTATGAGCACACCATTGTGCAGCTGGGCGAGCGGTTGGGCGACCCGCTGGCAGCCAGGAACATGTCCGAGAATTAACACGAGAGATATTTTCATGGTGAGATGGGCAGGCAGGTAGCTCAAAGGATCTGCGACACGTACGTTGTGCCGGTGATGCTCGGCGGTGCCTAAATTAACTACACCTTCGCATGCATTCGGCCTCAGCTCTTTACGGCCAACCATCAATCCTAAAAGAGACGAAAGCATGCCCGAAGAGGGGCCGTTATACGTGCATGGATAACGCATGGTGATTTGTTCCCTGGCCTGCAGCCCGCCTGCAATATAGAGTGCTGGCATGGCATGTTGGCCAGATACTGCGCACGATCTTCATTGGCTGGTGCCTGGATGTGATGGCTTGGTTCCATTGAAAAAAGCAACCCGTGGAATCCGGCGGGCCATTCCCCCTGGGTAGATGCATAGTGGGTGCCGGCATCCTCAAACATCGGGCCTGCTAGATCGACAATGCCCCTCCTCCATCGACTGTTCTCGTCCCTTATTTCCCGCTTGCATTGATGCACCCGGTCTGTCAGTTGGCACCATGCAGGACAGAACGGCGGTGCGTGCGCCCGCAGGCTCTGGATGACTGCATGTGCTCATGCTGTGTGCTGGCTTACATATAAGCTGTGTTTGGGGTTGGTGCCTTTGGTTCGGGCTGGACACAAACCCACATATATGCCAATAGCCGCTGTGTACCAGCAGAAATTTGGGCGTTTGAGAAAGTGGCTTTTGTTTCCCTCATTGGCCGTCTCTTCCTACGCACTATTGGCGTGACATGCTCCTTTAATGAGTGTTTCCACCACGTACCCGGACAAGCCTTTAAGCGCGCATGATTCCGCGTCCCTTGGCTTCAGATAACACCCTGTGGGACCAGATGAAAGGTAAAAAGGTGAGGGAAACCACCTGCCCGAAACTCGACTTGGCAATCAGGGGCTCCCGAACGAGAGGAAGTGTGCCTGTCTATCCAGACGACCCACCACCGGCCCCCGTGCCAAGACCAGGATATGGACCCTGGTCGTTTCATCGCCGGCCCTCTGGATGCCGGCTTTCCAATCAACGGCCAACACGCATGGGCCTTGATCGTGGCTTGTGCCCGTCTTGGCCTGGGTAGCTGTCTATGCGATGCGGTGCAACAGGTTGCATTGCTTGTTAGCTCAGGTGGCTACCGCCGAGTGAACGTACCCAGGGCAATATTATAAGAACCAAGTTGTCTCTGGAGGCTGAGCCGCTCTCGGTCTCCTCACCTTTCCTCTCCATCTTTCCCTCCATCTTTCTCCTGCTGTTCGCCGGTTGGCTTGTCGGTTGATTTCGACCATTCCTTTCCTTCACAGTATCAACTGGTATTGACATTCCTTATCAAGCCCGGGAGGCTCGTCTTTCTATTCATACATTCATTGCTCCTGAACCGGCAGCATTCATACAGCACACAAGCACACACACGAACCAACACATACATACATAACCACGTCACATTGTTCGCTTGTTCTCTCCATCTTTCAAAATGAAGCCTTCCACTTTTTACGGCGTCATTGCCACCGCATCCTTGGCCCAGGCCATCCAGCCTCCAGCCATTAACGGCTTCAAACTTACATGGGGTGATGATTTCAAAGGCGCTGCTGGCGCTCCACCCGACTCGACCGCTTGGACCATTGCTTTGGACATCCAAGTAAACAACGAGCTCCAGACGTACACGACCTCCAACAAGAACCTCCAGCTTTCTGGTGGCGAAACTCTGCAGATCGTCCCTGTGAAGAGCAGCAACGGCGCTTGGTCATCTGGTCGTATCGAGTCCAAGGCATCTTATACCCCCCAGCCCGGCAAGAAGATGCAATGGCAGGCTGGACTCCGCATGGGCACAGCTGCGAATCGCAAGGGTCTTTGGCCTGCCTGGTGGATGCTGGGCGATGCCATGAGACACGGTACCGGCTGGCCCATGTGCGGCGAGTTGGACATCTTCGAGCAGGTCAACGGTCTTATGGAGGGCTTTGGCACCATCCACTGTGGACAGAAAGAGGGCGGAGTCTGCAATGAGCCCAAGGGACGCGGCGTCACCACGACCATCCCGGACAACGACTTCCACAACTGGGCTCTTGTAGTTGATCGCACCTCCAACAACTGGCAGACGGAGACAATCCAGTGGCTCAGGGACGGGATCCCCTTTTCTACTGTGACTGGTGCTGAGATCGGCGACCAAGGTATCTGGTCCACGCTCGCACACTCTCCTTTCTACATGCTTCTCAACGTTGCCGTTGGTGGGCTCTTGCCCGGAGACCCAGACGCTTCTACCGAGAGCGGCTATGGCAACATGATGGAGGTTTCTTATGTTGGTGTTTATGAGAGCGTATAGACTTCTTGAGAAATTTGGTGTCGGATGTTCTGATTTCTTCTTCTATATACGGTGTTTGATACCCCAACTTTGATACGTCTTGCTGCTTCATGTATATATTTTTACTTGCTTAGACGGGTTGAGTATTAGTTGTCTCTCACAGCTGGGAGACCTAAAGAAAAAAACAAAAGTTCCCGTCATATTTTGGTTGATTAATTCGTTGGTGAATGGTGACTTTTAAGACTAAACAACACTCACTCTCTGCTAGTCCTTGGCTTGGTGTCTCTCCCTTCTCGCCAAGTATGACCGGTGCAATCATACGGTCCCAAGTCTGCTTGTACACAATCTTCACGTTGGGACAAGTTGAGTGAATATTCTAATGTGTTGGACATTTGTAAACATCGCTAATCCATCAATTACTGAACACACCATGGTATTTGTAATTTTTTTCAACCATCGTCAGACAATAAAACAACAAACAAGCTTACATAAAAAATTGGGTTGCGCTTCCTCTTGAGTATTTTCACTTCCTCGAAACTGAAGATAGCAGATAGAACCTTGGGAAAGAAAGGGAAATCAATAAGAAATAGGGGGGAGGAAGAAACAAAGGGAAAGGGTAGAAAAGAGATAGAAAGCAAGGGGTGGGCAAGGATAAACAAGTGAGTAAGCAAGCACATAGGCACAGGTGACATCAACTCTTTTCCTCCCATTGCAAACAAAAGCCACCACCACTTGCGAGAATAGCAGCGTATTCTTCACACCCAGAAACCTGATCGCCTCATGACCATGATATAGACCCGTACCGAACGCCGTGACAAATGATGCCAGATTAAATATAGTCCAAGCCCAGAAAGAATAAAAATGATTGGGGTACACAGGGTCTTCGAGGAGATCTCATTCTGCTCCAATCTCTCCCTCCATTCCGGTGAAGGCGCCGTTGAAGTCGAATGGTTGATTATCACCATCACCATCGTGAAGGAATGAGTCAAAGTCGAAGTCGTTGAGGACATCTCCGGTGTGGATTCCATCGCCTCCCATCAAGGGGCCACCGAAATCCTGCAATGTGTTAATATTGGGACTTTGATAGGGCGACTGAAAAGAAGCGTGTGTCGAACTTACCATTGGGAAACTGTCCATGTTGATGCTGTTCGGATCAGGGCCTTGTGGAGGTGCAATAGGAGCCTGGGGAGCAGGAACAGGAGCGGGAGCCGTGGTAGTTGTCGCATTCTGGCCCGGCTTGAAACCAGCAGTAGTGACCGGAGTAATGGGTGTTGCGGGTGCTGCTTGCTCTGAGTCACCGTTATTATCAGCGGCGGGCGTTGCGCCCGAGCCATTGATGTTGGAGTTTGGCTTGTTCTTTTGAGCCGTGTTCTGTTGAGAAAAGTTAGAATTTGCATCAAATGTATAGGTATTGCCGTAGCTTACCTTGTTCTTGGAAGCCTGAGTTTCCTTCTTCTTCTTGGGAGCAGCCTTATTGGACTGGTTCGGGGTTGGGGGAGCAGCAGCTGTCTGCTGAGGTGAAGCCGTTGTGCGATTATTGGCATTGGCAGCAGCGGCGACTGGAGCCGATGGCGGAGGCATAGAACGCTGAACAGGGGTTCCCTGAACCTGCTGGTTCTGTTGCATGCCTTGAGGAACCATCTGGTTATTTTGGCCCTGCCACTGCTGTGGGTTCTGACCTGCCTGTCCCTGGGCTTGGCGAGCAGCCATCATTTGCGGAGTCATCTGGCCGTTGAATGGCTGGCCAGGGTGCGAACTAGGTGGTCGCATACCGTTCATAGGCTGACCACCGGCCATGTTGCCATCTGCACCCTTGAAGAAGTGCGGTGCCATGTTTGGATCAGCGTTGCCCATGAAGTTCATGGCGGGGTTGGGGGAGCCACGAGACTGTGGTCCACCCTCAGGAGCAGGTGATGGGATGCCGGGATTGTTCATCTGAGGGGTACCTCGCTTCATCTGCTCTGTGGGGTTGGGAGATGCGCCAGTTCTCATGGTTTGAGGAGATGCATCAGGGAATGGTTGGCCATTTGGCACACCGGGACCACCAGGGGCGCCGGGACCAGGAGGCTGACCTTCCCTGGGAACTCCACCAATGTTGTCTTGCTCCTGGCGAGCCATCATCAGCCTTTTCTTATTTTGCTGTTCAAGCAACATAAGTTGCATTTGGTAGTCTTGAAGGGCGTGGTTGCTACTGCCGCCTGCAGCCTGTCCATTTCCAGGAGCTTGGGCTCGTTGGAGTCCGTTGGGGGTTGGGATCTCGCCGTTGGTATTATAGGTGTAGTTCATCGTAGAGCCGTCCGGGCCTGGCGCCATCATCGGGGAGCCTTGACCTTGAGGACCAGCGGCGTTGGGCTGCTTAGTGCCCATCTGGTTACCGTGGTGGTGCTGTAGGTGCTGCGAGTAAGCTGCAATGGATTTCTGCTGGGCGGTCGGAGGGATATTTACAAAGTTCTGGAACTGGGGTCCTGCCAGTTGCGCAGGGTTTATGTTATGCGCCGTGAGCATCTGGGTAGCTACAGCACCCGGTCCGCCGAGCATTTGCTGCGAGGGCATGCCTTGAGCTGGGCGCCCATTTGGCATCATACCGACGGCAGCGGGGTTCGGGTTAAAGTCGTTAGGGCGTTGCCTCTTTGAGGGGGATGGCGCGTTCTCGCCCGAGGCTGGTGATGATTGGCGCTCGCGATTAGGGTCCATCTGGGAAGGATCCCTCTGCATT